ATATATATATTTGTATATACACCCTTATAGTGCCTTTGGAGGTGCTACTCTGCAGATAGGAACCATACCTCTAAGGCAACATGGAAAATCCACCTCCCCGAGAGCACCCAGGTGAAGGGGGTGCGCTCTGACTCTGCTATGGGACGCCTCGCTAAGAAGGCCACCATGCTGAAGCGGCGTCGCTCCAAGTTAAAGTTGGAGGTTTGCCTGTCATCTTCTAATCACATACTGAAAGGGCAGGAGGCAGACGAAGACGTTGTTTTCTACACAGAAGAACCCAAAGCTGGTTAGTTGTTTTTATAACGTGGTGCAAGATGTAGGTAGGCACGCTATAATGTGATCTTTCACTGATGATGGTGTAATAATAAGTATTGGACATCAAAAGCAAGAAAAGTACGAAATTTACAGACAGACAACTCATACAAACTTTGGTGCAGAAGAAATTTACACGTAAAGCTACTCATGATATGATGAGAATGTATACGACAAACAACAGTGCGTAAAAACAATTCTATCTCAGTTCCCAACTGGACAAATGATTATTCATAGTTCATATTTAAGTTTTTATGCAAAATTTGTTAACCCCCGACGAAAATAGCGAAAACACGTACGTATATGTGGTTTCTGGTATGTATACCGGTAGGCACACCGAATCGCCACCGAGGAGAGGGGCGAGCTCAACTGTCCAGCACCACTACCAGCTTGGGAGGCGGGGACATGGCCAGCGACGATGTAGACATAGATAACGAGCAGAATTACGAAAATACGCCGAGGATTACTCAGTGAGTAGTATACCTACGTAAATAACTAACACGTTGTTGCGTGATCTGTGCGACGAAATATATTAATAATCAGTATTATTACTACACCTGTCAACTGCAGCTGCTATAGCCATTAGCGCGTGTAAGGTGACTAGTTCAGGATTGTACGAGCATCTGAGTTTTGATATGATTACCAGGTTAACGGACACACACAAGGCAGCGATACGAGCCATACGCAAAATAAGGTATTTTGTAGCAAGGCGAAAGTTTCAGGTATGTACATAAGGTTCTCAAGCTCTTGTACATATGCGTTAACAGTTATTCAGATAAATTCTTATTTGAAAACCATGTCTAGCTACTGTTTGGGAAGTAAGTGAAATGCGGCAGCGTACTGAACCACCACTAAACAAATTGTCAGTTTTTCTGTGGTATTATCGGTAATAGTTGGTATTTACTTATTCATATGCTGCGAAAGAGCAAATGTATACACACTCAGCTGTGACATTCTCATCTATTTACAATTTTAATTAATCTTTTAGCAAGCTCGCAAACCGTACGACGTGCGGGACGTGATAGAGCAGTATTCTCAGGGTCATCTCAACATGATGGTCAGAATCAAGGAACTACAGAGAAGGTAACAAAACATTTCAAACTTTACTCTCACACTTCGCTTCACGCTCCACGATTCTATCATGCGCACATAACACTCGTATACGACGATATAATAACCATCATAGTATTGCTATGGGGAGAGAACACCTGGGGAAAAACAGATGGCTTCTTTCAATGTGCGTTGTAGGTACAGGTACAGCTATAGGTACATGTGAAACACATTTACCCGCGCTCATTATAATCTTGCACGTTATAATATTTAATGATTTACCTTCATTTCCGCAATTTGGGGCTGACGCTTCGCTCTTATTTCACGACCACTTTTCTCAAGGTGGCAAACTATTTTTTAGTTAATGGAAATCAAATCCACTTGTTTACAGATTAGACCAAACGTTAGGGAAGCCGGGTTCATATGTATCGCCACAGGAGAGAGGCAAGCAGACGGTCACGATAGGCGCAAGGCTGCTGAGAGTAGAAAACCAGGTGAGATATTAACAGAGCTCCCTCAACTTCAGGGCGTAGCAGCTTCCTTCTCTGTCCTCCGTCAATTTCTCTCTTTCTCGCCCTTACTCTCACGCACATACGCATGCACACACACGCACGCACGCACGCACACGCACACACAACCGCACACACGCACGCACGCACGCACGCACGCACGCACACGCACATACATCTTCCCATATTCTTTTTCTCTCTTTCCTAGAATAATGCGCCAAATGATCTTCTCAACCTCTCCCTTCTACAGGTGGAGGCTATCTTTAATCCATATACCTAAATGACCTTGTAACCAAAAGATGTTTTCTTGCGCTCTTCTAGATAAATAACATGGACAGAAAGCTAGACAACATCTTGTTGCTGCTAGGCAAAGTGGTTAACCAGCGACCAGATTCGTCACAGCCACAGAGAGCAATTCTGCCACCAAACTCATCGACCATGCCTCTGATGTATAATACGTTCGGCCCATCATCCTCGAGTCAGTCATTGATAAAGGAAAATGATGTGTGAAACACCGGGGAAGATAGCTAGGTAAGCTCTGCGGCAACTGTTTGCCAGAGAGCAAACAGACATGAGTGACTGCGTAAAACCGATGTATACCGATGATACGACCGTTGTGTGCGTGAAACATATTTAACCACAGAGCAGCGTATGTGCTTCGGGTCACGATTAAAAGCTCACAGGGAATGCATTTCGAGAAAACGCTGTCCAAGTGTGGATGAGTGGTAGTCTGTGAGATTTAGCTGTCATGCATGTACGGTTGCTAGTACGTGGTCCCTACAAAATACATTTCGCATATAGCCCTTCGTGACAGTGACACGTGGACTTGCAACTGATATTATTTTAAGGGCAATACTTCTTTGGAAGATGCAATAAGTTTTATGAACCCACTTTCAGCTGCGCACCTCACCGTCATTGGAATGGTAGCGGGCTAGAACATGCAAGCTGGAGCTTCCTCTCCCGCCCCTTACTGAGAGAGGAGATTGCCCTCCTCCGCCGAATACACGGACGTGTGACATCGAACCTCCGGCAGCTTGAAGCCAGAGAGCATGTTGCTATCGGAAGAGCTATTTCTACGCGTCATCGCCGATAGCTTGAACACAGCGGCTCTCTGCGCTATACGCACAGTTGTGAGCAAAGGTGGCACGTGACGTCAGAGGCAACAGTGCGAAGGAACGTCGTGACTGGTGATAGCGGAGCGGGTGCGGCACACCAGGTGAGATAGGCAGTTGGAACCTCTCACGCCGTGTTCGTGTGAATCACGCGCAAATGAGAGGGGAGCCCAACGAACTTCATGTTTGCAGTGCATTCCCATAGATTACCGAAGTAATACCCTCATTGGGATTGTTTGTATTTGTGATTTTATGTAGCTCTCTAATACATATTGTGCCGTGGAGAAACAATAATTTACCAAGCACATTACTGTAACATCAAACTGCATGCAGTGCCCCTTCGCTCACTCAGGATACCACTGCCACAATGCTAGCACTATTTTTAAAGTGGGCGGAGGTCGGGGGAAATCCAGCAAATGGAGATTCGTAAACAGCGTATGATTTGAAAGAGGTAAATGCATGGGCGCACAATCCGCGTACTATTTCGTATCACTATTTTATCAAATTTTTCATGAAATAACGGTCGGATTTTTAACATCTTTGCAACTTTTATTAGTCCAAATCTAATTACATAGGATACGAGTAACGTGCCTGCTGTAAAACTTGTAGTAAAAAAGCGTTACAAATTGTAACCGAAATCTACTTGTGGCAGTGCAAACTCCACGACAGATGGCGCTCTCGCTCATGGGCTCAATCTACCACTGCCACAAGTAGATTTCCGTTACAATTTGTAACGCTTTTTTACTACAAGTTTTACAGCAGGCACGTTACTCGTATCCTATGTAATAAGATTTGGACTAACAAAAGTTGCAAAGATGTTAAAAATCCGACCGTTATTTCATGAAAAATTTGATAAAATAGTGATACGAAATAGTACGCGGATTGTGCGCCCATGCACCTCTTTCAAATCATACGCTGTTTACGAATCTCCATTCGCGGGATTTCCCCCCGAGCTCCGCCCACTTTAAAAATAGTGCTAGCATTGTGGCAGTGGTATATTGAGTGTGCGAAGGGGCACTGCATGCAGTTTAACCTGTATGATACAGGCGGTTCCGGTTCCGCTTCACTACACTTCACCATAGGTAGATAGTGTAGTGAAGCGAAACATACCGCCTGTATCATACAGGTTACATGCAGTTTGGTAACCTGTATGATACAGGCGGTATGTTTCGCTTCACTACACTATCTACCGCCTGTACGCGAGCTCAACCCTGGCGTTTCGCAAGCCTCGTTATCGATCAGGCAACGAATAACTGGAGAAATGACGTCAGGCAAAAGCCTGCTTGCTGATTGGCTGATTGGCCCGTTACAGCTCTCTGATTAGGCGCAACGATTTCGTGTTTCGCGAAGCGGGCTGAAGAAGCAAGCGGTACAGGCGGTGAAGTGTAGTGAAGCGGAACCGGAACCGCCTGTATCATACAGGTTAGCAGTTTGGTGGCAGTGGTAGATTGAGCCCATGAGCGAGAGCGCCATCTGTCGTGGAGTTTGCTGTAACATTATCCGCCTTCATAGCTACACTTTTCTAATTAAAGGTAAGAGCAAGACGTGACTTAGAAGTGATTAAAGAGTTCATACAGAAATTCATATCAGTAATATGAACAGCAATGAGTGCTTTTATCTTTAAAGAATATTAATTCTAAACCATCCACTTGCATTACATTTTCATTAATTCTCTTGCTATTGCACCATGCACCTTTTTACATGTAAAGGTAATGTCACCTTTAAGCAGCAGAATTGTTCATGGGATTTTGTCATTGTTTTGGGGATTTTTCTTGGGGAAATTCTTCAGCGAGTTGATTTTCGTCTGAAAGTGAACACCTATACAATGTTCACACCTATTCCAGTACGACTTGTTTAAGAAACGCTGGTGGCATTACTCCAAACAACTCTCAAGTGGCATATATTTGGTTCATATTACATTATCGTTTTGTTTAAGAAAATTCATTAACTGCCGCAAACTCAGTAACAATCAGTGTAATCCGGTTTATCATGACCTTAACAGAATAGCGTCACTTGCATTAACGCGATGGTCGTTTCGTTAATTATACATGATCTGTATAGGAACTACAACGATTCAGTCGTTGACTACGCACACGTGTTATGTATCTGCAGACGTCTTCCTTCATATTCCTAGTTACAGCTCATAATCTCTACATTCAGCCACTTTGTCACTATTTCGTCTCTTACCAGAACACGTTATACTCTACACGGAATTGTATCGGGTACTTTGTGTAGATGTGTGTACACATGCAGCCGTTTAGTTGTGCTGTGTTTTGTGTCTGTGATACCATTATTTGCACGCAGGTGTGATGTGTAAAGTTTAACCGTTAGTTAAGCTAAACAATCATGCGTTGCATTTTACTCACGTTATTTATTGTAAGTGCAACGGCACTGTTCCATCGTTGTCACGGGGGGCATCAGAGCAAAGAGCGTTTCCTAGTTTGGTACAATTTTTAGTGATTAACCAGGTGCAATACGAAAAATGTTGGCAATTACTGTTCTACTGTGGATGAACGCCTCGCACAAATAAAAAATGTGCATTTCTAAGCTACTTCCAGTTAAAGAGGCACTTGCCCATGAATTCTTTATCAGCGTTTTTGTATATCAGCGGATTATAGTTTACCTAGCAGTATTTCGTTTGGAAAGTGGGAGTGACCGAGTGCTTACAGTGTTGCAGTGCAAAGAAAAAACTTTAGAAGTGTGGAGAGAAATAATAAAGAAAAAAAGTGCGTATTTTGACCTTCTCTCAATGATCTTTATCAAAATGTAATGAATTGATTTGATTTGTTCGTTCATCTCTTAACACCAGATGGCTTACCTTCACTTACTTGCACTTACTTCACATGTACTACCCACAACCATGTGTAGTTAACAGTTACTTAAAGGCCCCCGCACACGGTGAGGTTCGTGCTGAGCACGGAGCGTGAGCTTCATGCTGAGCAGGAACCTCACCGTCTGCGGGGTCGATTACACTGAGTTTTCGGTCTCGCGAGGTGGTGAGGAAAATATCTGTCGTGTTTGATAATTTTGGTCTCGCGAGGCTGAAAACTCAGCGTATGCCGGGGTGTGAGATTCCTGCTGAGCACGAAACTCAGTGGCGGCGCATTTTGATTGGTTCTCACTCAGTGGCGGTACATTTTGATTGGTTCAGCCGTGCACCCGCTCCAGTGACCGCTTTGTGCACCCGTGCACCAAACAGTGGCACCAGCTCGTAAGATCCGTGCTCAGCATGAACCTCACCGTGTGCGGGGGTGTGAGATTCCTGCTGAGCACGAAACTCACACTCCATAATCAACACGAACCTCACCGTGTGCGGGGGTGTGAGATTCCTGCTGAGCACGAAACTCACGCTCCGTGCTCAGCACGAACCTCCCCGTGTGCGGAGGCCTTAAGGCTATATGGATCGGTCAATATTGTACTGCAACCTAACTGGGGGCTCGTGTAGATATGCCGTTGTCACCACCACATGCAGTTTGAACATTCTCACATTGAAAGACAGACGACATATGTACGCGTTTCTAGAAAGTAACACCGTAAGTCTTTCTAGGAAAAACAACATTGAGAATGGTTTACACGGCACTATAACACTCTTGTGAAAAACCCAGGTTTGTCACGACAATAGAATAATTTCAGTGTAATATAAAGATGTACTTATCAACAAAATTCTATGTTGTATCATCGTATACGGTTTATCTCCGGTGGATTTTCCTACAAGATGTTCTGGAATGGTTGTGCACACATATTTTTACTTGTAAATCACCTATTTTTCACTGCAGCGTTTGATACTCTATATGTACACAATTATGGTTGTATATAATATGAAGTGTTGTTAAATAAATTGCATTTGGATCTCTAAAAAGTACGTTGTTACTCGTTGTGCCGATAATTCTATTACGTGTGGTAACTAATATGAAGGTACAACGAATGACCCCCAAGAAATTATGATGTCGGAGATAGCAAACTATATTGTACTTAAGAAAACTTGCAAAGCTCACAACATTTGTAAATTATTAATACACAACTAAAATACTGCAGCTGGAGGTGCAGTTTCCTATACAAATATCCATCGCATTTTGCCTTCATGTATACATTATTATAAATATCAGACATCACTCACATTTTCTAGATCTAAAACGTTTACTTGGTTGGAATGTCAAGTTTTCCAGCTCTACCACAATGTTACATTGTAAACGGGCTGACTGGGCGTGTTTGTTTTGTACAGATCCGATTACATTCACCTGATCCTGCTTTACTTATACAAATGCAGCAAGTGCCAATTTCACGAAACCGTCATACCAGCTCGCCACGGATCTCACCCACAGATTTCACAACGGATCTGAGAAGAGTGTGAAAAAGTACATAGATTTGGATCTGGTTTAATCACGATCAATGATCTGACTAAACAAACACACCCTCAGACGACAGGCGACCTGCTCCCCACGTGTGTGACACATTACAGTTAACCTAATCTATCTATCAATTCATCTTTGAGCAACTAAAAAACTGAAACAGGATAGCTGAATTTTGCAAACATTAAACACGACCATAAAAATTTCTCTTGAAGAATCGTATCAGTCCAATTAAAAACGCATTCTCTGCGTCTCTGAACAGTTTCATACTGAACGGTGCACTGCTCTCATAAACTGATGTTCCACACCCACATATCACTGGCTGCTTTAACAACCACGAGTTGACTGTAAAACGCTTGTGAGCGTCACTGGACGGACTAGAGTAGACGTAATACTGATTGATAGAATATTCTTGAAATGACATAATAGCTTTATTAGCTAGGTCATCAAAGTGAGCATGGATGAGGACGGAGTGAGGTAAATGTACACTTGCGAAAAATAATTATTGTAGCTAATAGAGTTCCAACTAGAAACTAGAATTCGATTTGTAAAAGCATTTCGGTCATTTCGACCGTAAGCCTCGGTCACAACGAGCCCACGACGCATTTGTGCCACGACACGACAGAAAATTTGGGCAAATCGTGGTTCATCGGGGGTTGTCGCAAGGCAGTCCAACAAAATTTTGAGCATCGTGGCATCGACTTGCCGTCGTGCGGCAAAATTGAACATGCACGATTTTTTGTGGTATCTATGTCTTCTGGTTGTCGTGAGTCTGTCCTACGACAGTCTTGCGACTGTCGTGCGATAATACGTCGTTATATAGTCGGGGACGGACGCGCTAGCGTCCAACGAGTGACTCACGACTGTTGTGCGACAGTCGCACGACTGTAGCACCCGCATCCCACGAGTGAACCACGACCTGTTAACGTGAAAAACAGCCCCCCCCCCCGACAATGCCCGACAACTCACGACTGTCGCACGACTGACTTGCGACACACCCACGACATATCTTTTTTTTCTGTCGCGTCCCCATCGCCAAACCATCTTTAATGTGTCGTAGCCCTTGTTACCACTCGAAATACATTTCGGGCATGTTGCAAGATCTGGCCACGACAAATATTTTATGGATCAACCACGACAAAATTTCGTACGATCTGTTGTGACCCGGGCTTAATGCAAATGCCACACGATTGTTGACGTTACATTCGCAATCAAAAATATAGGTCTTTCAAATCTGTAATGATGCAGAAAACCTAACCCTTGCCCCCTCTCTAAGCTCTTGATCCTTGCCCCTCATTAAGGACTGTATAGTTACCAATAAGCATGCAGCTCTTTTAGGGACATAAAAAATGCTGCTCGCACTATTAAACAAGTTAAGTTCAAAACAACATCACAAAAAGAAATGTCTGCCGCACGTTGGATTGAAAGACACAGTGCCTACTCTTAATAAGCAATATATATATATATAATATTATAATTATTAGAAATATACATAAAACAACATGCGTATCACCTTTTCGGCCATCACTTGCAAAATGACTGTCTGTGGGTGTGGGTGTCTACAGTAACTTTAAAAGCAAATGCACTTCGCACAAAATTGCACACACCAAAACATCCATGAATCTGCTTACATCTTTTTGCAACATAACCTCAAATTCTGCAATCTACGTTTGGTGAGAAATGTCTAGCTTCTACATGACACAGACCTATGAGGAGGCTTTCATACGCATTGAAACGTACATCCTGCTGGCTTCAGCATGCTGAATGATAGATATCTGCACATTGCCTAAACATGTCCTCTCGGCTAGCTGATGCTTGGTCCGTCTGTGATGCTCTTATTTTCTGCCCCGTCTGGAGTGTCAAAACCTGAGTCTGTCAGGCCCATGCTGTTAAATGTCTGAAAAACAGACGAGATGGATCATGTATTAAGAACCTTGATGGACAAAATAACACCGTATTCATGCACTTTTAGCACAGCATTGTTCATCTTACAAAACAACCCTGCAGAAAATCAACCAAATAATCATCACTGTACATTTACATTGGTAATCTCACTGCAGGCTTAAGGGTTAAGCGCCTATTGAAGTGCTTGTGAATTTTGCTTCCGAGTGTTGCCAATGTGTGCCCATGCACATGCACTAGTACCGCTATGATGTGCACACAGCTTCTCAGATGTAGCATCCAGTCTAGAAGTGCTGCATGAACCGTGCAAAATTTAGTCAGGTGCTGGTGTTTTCCAACGATACAAGTGCAGCCGTCCATTCACTTGTAACGACCTATTAATCCACATGTGCACAGCCACTCTCCCTCCACCCTCACTGTATCGCTGTTTCTCTGTATCACGTAATCCCTGGCATCAGTGTGTGTGCTTGAGCGCAAAGTATGGAGCCACCATATCAAGCAAGCATGAATCTCAATTCTAGTGCTGAATAAACTAGTTAATAATTACTCATCATAGACACTGCCATCACTGCGATGAGTCATTCGTCCGCTGCACCGGGTCGTGTAAAAGAGAGAATTATCACGCAGGTGTTTTTGTTGTTGGTTCTGGGAAGCTGGGCGAGCATCGATTGCAGATCGATGCATTCGCTGATTTCATTAACTACCCCACACACGTACAAGCATAGGCACTCACGTACGCATGCGCGCGCATTAACACACACGCGCGTGCACGCACGCACGCACGCACGCACGCACGCACGCACGCACACATACACACACATACTCATGCATGCACGCACGTACGTACGTACGCACGCACGCACGCACGCACGCACGCACGCACGTACGCACGCACGCACGCACGCACAGACACACAGACACACTTGAATGTGTACTCACCTATGTGACAAACACACACGTGCACATACAGGTGCTTGCCTGGGTACCTAACTAACCCACTAGACCTAACGATTACAATTCTGGGCATACGGCTACAGAGAGGGAGCTATTGATTTTTCACACGTGGCTCATTAATTAAGGCGTGGCAGCTGCAGATATTTACTCCCTATTTATTAAACACATGTGATCCAGGTTGATCAGTGTGAATGATCAGGAGTGAATAATAATAGATCTATCTAGAATAATCTATCTATCTAGAATTATTATTCACTCCTGATCATTCACACTGATCAACCTGGATCACATGTGTTTAATAAATAGGGAGTAAATATCTGCAGCTGCCACGCCTTAATTAATGAGCCACGTG